ATAATTAATTAATTTTCAACTTTTGATATTTCAAGTAGTCATCACATTTCAATGACACTTGGTACATAGATGTCATAGGACACTGCACAGACCTGATAGTTTTTAGGGTAATATCAGTATATATTAATTAGCTAATTAGCATAATTAATTAATTTTCAGCTTTTGATATTTGAAGTAGTAATCATCACATTTCAATGAAATTTGGTACATAGATGTCATAGGACACTGCACAGACCTGATAGTTTTTAGGGTAATATCAGTATATATTAATTAGCTAATTTGCATAATTAATTAATTTTCAGCTTTTGATATATCAAGTAGTAATCATCATATTTCAATGAGACTTGCGACATAGATCTTCTAGGATTATGCAGAGACCTGATTAGTTTTAATTGGATATTAATTACCTAATTTGCATAATTTTCCACTGATATATAAAGAACCACAAATTGGATTTTAATAAAATTGCAGAAACCCAATTAGTTTTTGATAAATATTTATGCTTATTAATCTCCTAATTAATCAGGCCTGATTAATTTTGGGTTAAAATTTGTTCATATTAATTCTCTAATTAGCATAATAATTCATAATTTGTTTGTTCTGTTCTGTTCATATTAGTTACTTGATTTACATACTGTAGAGGGGGTAATTATTCACTAGGTTTTAATTTAGCTTATTTCGCTGACTGGAAAAATGCGCTAAATTAAAACACAGTGAATATGTAAAATTTAGCATAGAACACATTATCTAAATGACGAAACCGTGAATTTAAAACCCACTGAATATGCCCGAAATGGTAAATCAGTGAAATTTAAACCCAGTGAAAATTAGTCATTTTACAGTAATTGTTTTTCAGCTTTTCCATCAATATCTCATGTACAAGTAATTTTGAATTAATTTTTAATGTGTCTTCAATACTCTCAGCACACAGGAGTTCTTTCTAAGCTTTCTTTGATTTTTACTTTGAGAAGTTCTGTCAACCAAAGCATAAATATGTGTTTCTCTGTACATAAAAGTTCAATTTCACACGATTTGTTAATATTAATGTATGATAATAAAAACTTGATAATATTTTTCTGGATTCTTGCACTTTATTTGTATCATTGTCATATGAGAAGTACTCTTGTCCTTATTTAGAGATATTGATATGACAATTGATATCTTTGCCCTGTTGCTGACTAAAATATCAGAAGTTTTTCGCTGGTACAGTTCTGTGATTGACAGTGTCCTTGTATTAGGAATACAGTTGTACAAGGAAGTTTATCCAAACAGACACAACACTGACTCTTCAACATATTTGCAGATCTGATTTGCATACTTGCATGCCATTTTTGACTCCCGTGTGCGAAGCACAAAAAGGGAGTCTTTGCAGTTAGTGTGTCTGTATGTATGTGTGTGTGTGTGTGTGTGTGTGTGTGTGTGTGTATGTGTGTCCGACTGTTCCACTGATATCTCAAGAACCATACATCAGTTTTTGATGAAACTTGGTGCATAGATGCTCTGGGCCAATGCGCAGATTTGATTAGGTTTTGGTAAAAATCCATGCATATTAATTACCTAATTTGCATGATAATTAGCTGATTTTTAGCTGTTTCATGACTGTTCCACTGATATCTAAAGAACCACTCATTGGATTTTGATGAAACTTGGCACACAGATGC